AAATTTTAAAACAGTTCATTGAGGTATCACCTCACACTGGTCAGAATAGCCATCATCAAAATGTCTACAAACAATAAATGCTGGAGAGGGTGTGAAGAAAAAGGAACCCTCCTACACTGTTCATGGGACTGTAAACTGGTACAACCATTACAGAGAACAGTATGGAGGTTCCTGAAAAAACTAAAAATAGAAGTACCATATGATCCAGCAATTCCTCTCCTGGGCATAAATCCAGAGAAAACCATAATTCGAAAAGATACACGCACCCCAATGTTCATACCAGCACTATTTACAACTGCCAAGACATGGAAACAACCTAAATGTCCATTGACAGAGGAATGGATAAGGAAGATGTGGTACATGTATATAATGGACTATTACTCAGCCATTAAAAAAGAAAGAAATAATGTCATCTGCAGCGACATGGATGGACCTGGAGATCATCATACCAAGTGAAGTAAGTCAGACAGAGAAAGACAAATATCATGTGATATCAATCATATGTGGAATCTAAAAAAATTTGATACAAATGAACTTATTTACAAAACAGAAACAGACTTACAGACTTCAAAAACAAAAAGTGAGGAGAAGAGATAAATCGGGAGTTTGGGATTAACACATACACACTACTATATATAAAATAATCAACAAGGACCTACTGCACAGCACAGGAAACTCTATTCAATAGTCTGTAATAACCTATATGAGAAAAGAATCTGAAAAAGAATGGATATATGTATATGTATAACTGAATCACTTTGCTGTACACCTGAAATTAGCAGATTGTAAATCAACTATACTCTAATATAAAATAAAAATTAAATTAAAAGAAACCCAAGTGCCATGTGGGAAAAGATTGATACACTGATTTCATACAAATTGTAGCATTGCAAAAAAAAAAAACATAGCATAAACCAAATCATAAGATAATTGACAAACTAATAAAAAATGTTTTCTCCATACATAAAAGGCTTCCTTAATGCCTAAAGGGATCCTATAACACCTTTCTGATGTAGCATCATTCCTGTGGCCCCTTCTCCTTTCTGTATTTTTTGCCCTGTTTCCTGCTCCTCTCCCTGCTGAAAATGTCTATCCTATGTAAGTGCTCACACCAAGGACCAGGAACCTCATCAGCTCAAAGTGTGTTTGACTATTATCCACACAGGCTACCAGTGTTTAGGAAAAAACTATGTGCGAGTGCATTCATGCATGTATGAACTGGAAGGTAAGGAGGCCTGATGGCCTAACCTGTTCCCATGCTAGAACTCAGCCCCAGCCTTCCTTGATATCCAGCTATTCCCCTCAACTAATTCCATAAGGTGCTTTCTCATCACCCCCAACCAAGCATATAGAGACTGGCCCATATATAATTTCTATACGTAAATCATCAGAACTCACTAAGATATTCTTACTCCCTCCTGTTTTTGCAGCTCAGCTTTGGCATGGTATATATGTATTTGCTAGAGGGAAAGTTGGGGAAAAGAATTAGTAGAGTAGGAGCCCTGAATTTGTATCTGGGTCATGGAGATTCTAATCCAATTCAATCACCATCCTTAAATCGCTGGACGTCCTTGGGTAATCTGCTGTACATCTCAAGACCTCCGTTTCCTCACTTCTAAATGAGGGGGTTAGGCCTGCTGTTCTCTAAGATCCTTTCTAGCTCAAACAAAAAATCCCTCTCCCACTGAGAATGTATGTTTCCTCCCTCAAACCCAGATTTGATTCTATCCTCTTAGGGTACCTTTACAATCCTTTCTTACCCATCCCAATAGCTCAGATGTGCTACCGATGAGATTGTTACTCTGTCCTTATCTTGTAGACATTCTTCAGGCACTTATGCAGGTGCCCTGGATCTCCCCAACTAGTGTTTCCCATTGGTTTAACCACCTGATCACCTCCTTTGGGGCTGTTGATATTGAGGTGTCTTGGACCCACGTTCTCCCTAACGGCACTAAGGTGGTAGCTGAGAGGAAGTGAGTCTGGGGAGGAGGAGGCAGACTGGAGCCCTGCAGTGTCTGGGGTCTGCACAGAGTGCCGAAGGAGGGGATGTGGAAAGAGGCGGCCAAGGACCTGAGTCTGGTTCCTGGGCAAATGAGAGAGCCAGGGGAGTCGAGGAGAGAGGGCTGGATTTGAGAGTCTGGGTTCTGTTGCCACTTCCTCAGATTGGCATGACCAAAAGGAAGTGTCTGGTAGTCACCAATGAACATTGTGGTTCAAGAGGGCAGCCACAGATGCAGGGAGCTCTATCCTGTGGGCCTAATTAGCTCAGATGTGTGTGTGTTTGCAGGTGGGGGTGGCAATGAGTGGAAATTAGCTGACCAAGCTGCAGAGGTGGCCAAAAAAGCAGCAGGTATGAGCTTCCCTGGGATGGTCATCACTGGAGCAGAAAGAGGAAGAACAGTCAGCTAAGGATTGTGCTGTATCTACACTACGAATGGGGAGATTTAAACAAAGATGGAGAGAGGAACAGCAGGGAGGTCCAAAAGTGAAAAAATACCTCAGTAGCCCTGAGTGTTCCTCATTTCTAAACTTAGCACAGTGAGTTCCAAGGAAAGCCAGATCTGGGGGATGTAAAGAAGGAGTAGGTGAAGAATAAAAGGAGCCAGTCCTTTCTTTGTTTAGTCTTGCTTCCCCCAACCAGCAGTTTCTTGATTATGCATATGGATCATGTGTTCTTTGATTGTGCCTGACATTGGCTTGGGTACGTGACAGATCAAGACTACATTCCATCAGAAAGGGAGATAAAGAATTAATATTGTTAAAATGGCCATACTGCCCAAAGCAATCTACAGATTTAATGTGATCCCTATCAAATTACCTATGACATTTTTCACAGAACTAGAACAAATAATCCTAAAATTTATATGAAACCATGAAAGACCTAGAATTGTCAAAGCAATAAAGCAGGAGGCATGATCCTCCCAGACTTCAGACAATACTACAAAGCTACAGTAATCCAAATGGCATGGTTTTGACACAGAAACAGACATATGGACCAATGGAACAGAATAGAGAGCCCAGAAATAAACACACCTATGGTCAACTAATCTTCAACAAAGGAGGAAAGAATATACAATGGAGAAAAGACGGTCTTCAAGTGTTGCTGGGAATGCTGGACAGCCATATATAAATCAGTGAAATTAGAACACTCCCTCACACCATACACAAAAATAAACTCAAAATGGCTTAAAGACTTAAGTATAAGACATGATACCATAAAACTCCTAGAAGAGAACATAGGCAATACATTCTCTGACATAAATCGTAGCAATGTTTTCTTAGGTCAATCTCCCAAAGTAATAGAAATAAAACGAAAAATAAACAAATGGGACCTAACCAAACTTATAAGCTTTTGCACAGCAAAGGAAACCATGAACAAAATGAAAAGACAACCTACAGAATGTGAGAAAATACTTACAAATGATGCAACCAACAAGGGCTTAATTTCCAAAATATACAAACAGCTCATACAACTTAATAACAAAAAACCAAACAACCCAAACAAAAAATGGGCAGAAGACCTAAACAGACATTTATCCAAAGAAGACATACAGATGGCCAAAAGGCACATGAAAAGAGGCTTGACATTGCTAATTATCAGAGAAATGCAAATCAAAACTACAATGAGCTATCACTTTACACCAGTCAGAATGGTCATCATTAAAAAGTCTACAAACAATAAATAAATGCTGGAGAGGGTGTGGAGAAAAGGGAACCCTCCTACACTTTTGGTAGGAATGTAAATTGGTGCAGCAACTATGGAGAACAGTGTCAAGTTTAGTTTTCCTTAAAAAAGGAAACTAAACAGTTTTAGTTTTCCTTAAAAAACTGAAAAAAGAACTACCTTATTATCCAGCAATCCCACTCCTGGGCATATATCCAGAAAAGACAGAAACTCTAATTCGATAAGATACTTGCACCCCAATGTTCACAGCAGCACTATTTACAATAGCCAAGACATGGAAGCAACCTAAATGTCTATTGACAGATGAATGGATAAAGAAGATGTGGTGTGTATATACAATGGAATATTACTCAGCCATTAAAAAGAATGAAATAATGCCATTTGCAGCAACATGGATGGACCTGGAGATCATCACACTAAGTGGGGTAAGTCAGACAGAGAAAGACAAATACCATATGATATCACTTATATGTGGAATCTAAAGAAAATGATACAAATGAACTTATTTACCAAACAGAAACAGACTCATAGATGTAGAAAGCCAACTTATGGTTACCAAAGGGGAAAGGGGAGGGGGAGGGATAAATTAGGAGTTTGGAACTAGCAGATACAAACTACTATATATAAAATAGATACAAACTACTATATATAAAATACATGAACAACAAGGACCTACTGTATAGCCAAAGGAACTATATTCAATATCTTGTAATAAACTATAATGGAAAAGAATATGAAAAAGAATATATATATGTATAGCTGAATCACTTTGCTGTACACCAGAAACTAACACAGCATTGTAAATCAACTAAACTTCAATCTAAAGAAATAAATTTTCTGAGGCAAAAACAACCAAAAGAACCCAGATGAATGGATAAAGAAGCTGTAATACACACACACACACACACACACACACACACACACACGCAATGGAATACTACTCAGCCATAAAAGAGAACAAAATTTTGCCATGTGCAGCAACACGGATGGACTTGGAGGGCATTATGCTAAGTGGCATAAATCAGACAGAGAAAGACAAATACTGTATGCTATCACTTATATGTGGAATCTAAAAAATACAAAAAACTAATGAATAAAACAAAAAAGCAGACTTGCAGATATAGAGAACAAACTAATACCAGTGAGGGGGAGGGTGTAGGGGTGGGGGAATGGGAGGTACAAACTACTGGGTGTAAGATAGGTTCAACGGTGTATTGTACAACATGGGGAATACAACCAATATTTTGTAGTAACTGTAAATATAAAGTAACCTTTAAAAACTGTATTAAAAGTTTAAAAAATAAATAAAGAGTACCTGGACACAGTAGTCTGTTGGTTACCAACTTCAACTCTAGGTGTCCACCAGAGGGCGTCAGAACCCAGGACTATGGCACTTCATCCTGAATAGCCCATGTTGATCCAGGGCTTGTAATCTCTGGACTCATCTGGCTCTTTCTCTAGCAGGGCAGGGTGTGGGAGCAGCTGGCAGCACCTCCTCCCACTGCCCTAGTAAGGTTTTGAAAATGTTTGAACCGCCTGGGGGCATGTGAGCCCAGCCCCTGGAGCAGCTCTGGGGAGCTCTGACTTGCTTGATAAGGTGAAGGCACAGGTCTGTTCTTGGTCCTGGGAGGATGTGACCTGGGTTAGCAGGTAGCCCCACGCCAAAGAATTCCTTCAGAAATCCCTCCCTTCACCTCCACTAAGGGGCAAATGGTCCATTGCTGACTAAGAAATCTCTTGCCCTTTGTCATACTGGATCGTTTGCTCAGACACCGGACCTGACCCCACACCTCACTTCCCTCCCACCTCAGCTCAGGCACTGGGGGTGCTCCAGGGAACCAGCACCCACTGTTTCTGGTTGCACACTGGAATCACCAGGGGAGCTTTTAAAACCTATGGATGTGAGCCCCACCCCAGAGATTGCAACTGAATTGTTCTGGGGTGGGACCTGGGCAGCAGTGTTTTGAAAAGCCTCCCGTGTGATTCTTATGTACAGCATTATTGAGAATCTCTGGGTTCAAGGCCTTGCTAACCAAGTGTAGGAGCTTGACAGGAATGTAGCATCGCAGCATCCCCTTCCCAGCTTGCTGAATCAGAACCTGCCTTTCAACCAGATGCCTGGGTCATTCAGTGGCACACTGCAGTTTAAGAAGCACTGGTCTAGTCAGCATACTATTCTACTTCGTCCATGCTCATTCCCCGGACCTGAACCACAGCCTCCACAGCTTTCTCAAGTTGGAGCACTGGCCTTCAGAAGTCTTTGCCTCTGATCTGCAGAAAGAAACACATTTTATATCAAGATGTAGAGCACACCTGTGTATATATAATGAAACCATACCTTTACTATTGTTACCAAACCAAACTTCAGTCCATTCACTCGGGCACAGTAAAGCCAATCTGCTGACACCGGATTTTGGTGAAGGAAAGCGCAGCGTTTATTGCAGGGCACCAAGCAAGGAGTCCAGGCTGCTAGTGCTCCAAAGACCCAACTCCCTGATGGCTTTCAGGGAAAGGTTTTTAAAGACAGGGTGAGAGAAAAGGGTGGATGATCAGCTCGTGGACATTCTTCTGATTGGTTGTTGGTGAGTAATTGGGAATCAACATCATCAACCTCCTGATTCCAACTCGTCTGGGGTCTACGTGCTTGTGGGCAGCATGCAGTTAACTTCTTCCACTTCGTGGGGGTTTTAGTAGCTGTCAAACAGCTCAAAGGATATGATCCAGTATATTATCTATAGCCCTTGAGGAGGAACTAACAGTCCTTGACTTTGTTTAATGACTAAACTATTATTATTCTGTCTTGCTTGGCTGTTTTCCTTTCTTTCTGCATTTTCTTACTTCTCTGATTACATTTATTCTTTGGAAGTTGGGGAAGGCCTAGGAGGCTAAAGTTTTTCTACAGACAAGAGGGAGGCAGAGGACTTGGTGGGGGGTAGGGTCTGTCCTGGGAAGGCCCCATAGGGTCCTGCTTGGTTACACTATCTGTGATGCAATCTCACCCATTCAATAGATATTGCTGGCACCTACTGTATACTTGGCATTGTTCTAGGTGCCTGTGCCAGTCTTATCCCCAGACAAAACTTCCTGTTATTGTGGAGTTTATGTTGGTGGCGGAGGCCAGGGAGGGTTGTCAGAAAGTTAAAAGTAAATCATAAATATGAAGGACATGCTTGAAGATTATAGTTTCTTTTACAACTTACATTTGGGGGGACTTCCGGATCCTGATTATGGTGTTTCTTGATCTCGGTGCTGGGTGTATTCACTTTGTAAAATGCCCAAGTCTTTGCACTTCTCTGGATGCATGTTATACTTCAATGAAAAGTTCAGAAAATTATATTCTGATATTTTCTATTACTGTCCTCTTTCATTAAAAAAAAAAAAAAAGCCAGGGCTTCCCTGGTGGCGCAGTAGCTGAGAGTCCGCCTGCCAATGCAGGGGACATGGGATCGTGCCCCGGTCTGGGAAGATCCCACATGCCGCGGAGTCGCTAGGCCCGTGAGCCATGGCCACTGAGCCTGCGCGTCCGGAGCCTGTGCTCCTCAGTGGAAGGGGCCACAGCAGTGACAGGCCCGTGTACCGCAAAAAAAAAAAAAAAAAAAAAGCCAGTTAAGGGACTTCCCTGGAGGCGCAGTGATAAAGAATCCACCTGCTAATGCAGGGGACATGGGTTAAAGCCCAGTCTGGGAAGATCCCACATGCCGCGGAGCAACTAAGCCCATGTGCCACAACTACTGAGCCTGTGCTCTAGAGCCCACAAGCCCATGTGCCACAACTACTGAAGCCCACGTGCCTAGAGCCCATGCTCTGCAACAAGAGAAGCCACCGCAAAGAGAAGCCCATTCACTGCAACTAGAGAAAGCCCGCATGCAGCAATGAAGACCCAACACAGCAAAAAAAAAGGCAGTTAAAACTCACTAAATTCAGTGCACCTCCAGCTAATAGTTTGCAAGAGTAGTTTAAAAAACATTGCTCTATTTTAAAAAACAAAACAGAACCCAAAAAACCTTCAGCCCAACCACTCCGCAGCATCAACACTCTTGGCCGAGCACCTGCTTGCAGGTGCCTTTATCACCCGCTGCAGCCTTCCTTGCCCTCCTGCTTACCCCAAACATGCAACCATTTCACAGTGGACATTCTTCAAGGCACTGCCACAAGCCTCCCTCAAGCAGCTTGGGCTGCCTCTGCTTAGAACTAGACCTGACAAGCCCTTCCCCCTGCAGAATCACTCTCCTGTGGGCAGCTCTTTTCAAGTTTCAGATCTGGGAAGAGACTGGCACAGGCACATTGGAGGGTTGAGGTTATCCCCCCAGCCTCCTAAATCTCCTAAGCCTTGTGTTTCTAGCCTGTGTCTCATTTCCTCCATTGTGCTGTCAGTCCCCTTGGGAGAGAGCAGTCTCCTCAGCTACCAGTACCAGAGTCAAACACAATGAAGAGAAGGAGACATGCTCCAAGACAACTTCCATCACAGTCCCAGTGCTCAATGTGGTGGTGGGGACAGTCCAGGAGCTGAGATGGCAGGATGGGGGAAGGGAGCAGGAGACCTCTTTTCTGTGAGCCTGAAGCTCCAGATAACCCTGCACTAGGGATGTTGGAGGCATGGGTCTGGCTCTTGAGAGCAACTGGAAGGGAGACGGGAGAATGGGGAGCTGGGCTTCCCTAAGAGAATCACCCAGCAGAACAATCCAGCATGTAGGTGCTTTGACCCTTTGCCTTGTTTGATTTAGAGCTTGATTTACCAGCAGAGAAACTTGCTCCAAATCAGCTGTTTGCATCTATTGATCCCCAAAATCTGGTCAGACTGATGCCAAAAATCTCAGCTCTCTGTGCACCAATGCCAAACAGAAATACAGAGTTTTGGAAGAACAAGAAAAATGGCTTTAATATTTGTCTGGCAAAGGGGAAAACACAGCAGGCTAGCACCTCAAGAACTGTACCCCCACTTCCCGGGGAATCAGACAAGATCTTATAGGTGGGGCTCACAGTCCAGGGTATATGATAAGGATCAAAATTGTGAAGGTCTTGCATTCTTCTTGCATTATTTCAAAACAGTCACAGCTGGTGTCAGGCAGCTGGGTAACTGGGTCCAGCAGCCCAGTACTTGAGCCTGTTTGTCTCTGGTTTATCTTTTTTTCTGAAATGCAAAAGGCTACAAGGGGTGATTTGTTATAAGGGAGTGCAGGGTAGTAGGGCATGATGTAATTTACATAGAGTTAGGGGGTATTACCATGCAGGATGTAATTCACATAGTGTCAGGGAGTAATAGGTTAGCTTTGTGAAGGACAAATCTAGTTACAGACACTACAGATTAGCAACAGTTAAAATAAAGCTAGGAGTGATTAACCCTTTCCATCCCATTTGTTTCTTCTCTAGCCTGTTCACTGTTCCCTTTACTTTCCTTGTTCTCAGGAGAGGAACAACTTCATTTCTATTTTTGTTGCAACAAATTCCCCAGTGCTAGTTCATTCCGTCCATATTAATGGAGGAAGGGAAATGGGCGTCATTCTTGTCTGGCTGAGGACAAAACTTCAGTTTTGCTCCACTTGACAATCACCAGCTGTCCAGCCCAGGGGCCCATCTACTACTTTAAAACCTGATGCTTCCCAAAGCTCCTGGGTATGGTGTTGCTTCGTTGCCCCTTATTGGTTCAGAGCAGACTTGGGAGTCAGAAAAGTGGATTTGAATTCTGGCTTCACTACTACCAGCTGTTACTTAATCGTGTAGAGCCTCAGTTCTATCACCTGTGGAGTATTGCCTGCCCTAGACCCTGTCTCGGCCCAGGTGGGGTGCATTCAACTTCCTGCTCAGTGGCCCTGGCTGCATGGTGAAGGGCAACCCCCTTACACACACTGTTATCGAATGATTTAGTAGAAAGTTGCCCTGCTCACCTCACAGGGAAAGACGCCATGACCCAAATCCACCCAGTCCAGCCCCCCCATAGCTGTCTAGAACCCGCGCCCTTCTCATTGTCCTACTGTCCTCAGGCCAGAGCCCTTGGGCCCAATGCTGGAAAATAAGAGTGCAGGAGTCACCCTTACACAGTTCTCTGATGTCTGATCCCTGGGACAATTCTGTCTGGAGTTGTTTTATTATTAAACGCATCTTATAGATGAGGTACAGTCAGAAACGGCCAACTTGCCCTAGCTTTTGGGTTCTAAGCTTGGCAGCCCAAGGCCGCCTCCAGCTGTGCTAGGATCTGGGTCTGCAGGTTGCACTATCACTGGGAGAAGGAGCTCTGAATTTTCTCCTCCTTTCGGGGTACAGACCCAAGAGGGAGCAGTGCAAGAGGGAGGAAGACTCCCTTTGCCTGGAACTCTTTCTGCTTGTATTCCCAGCAGGAAGTGTCACAGGCCTGAGCCCGGCTCTCCCTTGGCCCCAGGGTAAAGGTGGAGGCAGCCCAGGTTCATAGGTCTCTGGGCTGTTGCTGAAAGATTAGGACTAGAGTCCCTCTCTGCAGTCAAACACTCACTGGATTGGGACCTTGGAAACTTTCCGGTCCAATCTCCTCTTCATTTTAGAAACGAAGCAACTGAGGCCAGAGGTAAGTGTTTTTTTTACACTCATAAGTCAGGAGCAGCTGAACTGCTACTTAGAATTCGAGACTCCTACTTCAGCGCTCCTCCATTGGGCCCTGTTGACTACACCGTCTCAGTAGGCACTCCCTACCTTCTGGTTCACCTCTTCTCCTTCTGGCTCCACAGGAAGGCGCAAGCGGGGCTTCTGGTGGGAGGAAGAAGGGGGAGCAGTAGGGGCTCTGAAGGAAGGAGAAGTAAGTGGGACATGGCCCCTTAAGGCCCCGCCCGGCCCCCAACCCGGCCAGGCTCCGCCCCCCTCGGGCAGCGCAGGCGCAGGCTGGCTCCAGGAACCCCCGGCGGGAGGGCGGGCGCTCTTGGTTCTCGGGCCGGGGCGTGGGGCCGCAGCACCTGCGGGGGCCTGCGCAGGGCGCGGCGCCCGGCGGGCGGACGTCGACGCCCAGGAGCGAGGGCTGGGAGCCGGGACCGGGACGTGTGGGCGGAGCGGGAGGGGACGCGACCCCGCAGCCCCCTCCCCCGGGGGACGGGGCGGAAGGAACCGGGTAGGGGGGTGTGAGCGGGCGGCGAGGGCAGCACCATCTGGAGGGGCGGGACAGCGCGGCCTCTGGTGGGCAGGAGAGTGCGTTGGGCAGTGCCGGCTGGGGGCCCTAGGCCGGGAGCGCAGGAGGAGCGCGGCGGGCTCTGCCCAGCGCTGCAGGAGCAGCATCCGCAGCGGATCGGGGTTCTCAGCTGGGGCCCGCAGCAGCTCCGCGGGCTGAAGCTCGGCGTGGAGGAGCAGGGGGGCGTGGGTCCGGCCGTGCAGGAGGAGGGCGGGGTGGGTCCGGGGGTGCAGGAGCGGGGCGGCCGGGGCCGCGAGCCTAGCCTGGGGGTGGTGTGGGGGCCTGCGGACAGCGCGGACTGGAGGCGCCCGCCGCCGTGGACGGGCTCCGCGGGCTGGCCTGTGGTGCAGGAGGAGGGGCTGGGCCCCCGCAAGCAGTACCAGGAGAAAGGGGGAGGCAGCCCCGCAGTGCAGGAACGGGGGGAGGCTCGCACCGGGGTGCAGGAGCAGGGGGAGGGGAGCCCACGCAGGCTGCTACAGCAGCCCGAGCAGCTGTCCGAGCTCGGGGACGGCCTCTGGGAGAGCAGAGACGAGCTCGAAAGTTCCGAGGAGCGGGGGGAGCAGTACTGGGAGAGCTGCGGGCACCTCAGAGGGGAGGCAGAGGTCCTGGGAGTGGCCCCGGCACGCCGCAAGAGACTCGAAGTGGTGGGGAGGGCCCGGCCAGTGGGGCCCCAGGGCCCTGAGGGACAGGGGCGCCTGGGGGTGCAGGAAGCAAATTGGCTGCCCGGGGTGCAGGAAGGGCAGGTTGTGCGGGCTGTCCAGGAAACATACCTGGACGGGAAAGGGTCCCAGGAGGGAGACGGACCCCTGGAGGGACACAGGATCCGGAGGCGCAGACGGAGGAGGAGGAGGTGGTAACTCACAGGCCGGCTGCTCAGCATCAGCATCGGCCGAGCCAGGGCCGTGGTGAGAGCAGGATGTAGGGGTTTGGGGAGTGGGGGGCAGAAGAGCGCCGTGAACCTGGGAGCGTTGGAAACCACTGCCCGATAGCAGGCAGTGTCCTGCTGGGTCCTTTTCTGCCACCTCAGCCGGGACATCATAGAAGCTTTGTCAGCAGAGAGCCAGTGGAAGGCAGCAGGTAAGGAAGCCCAATTCTGTTCTCAGCTGGAATTGGTGTGTTTGGAAGGAGGGGGCTGCAGTTATCGCAGGAGAGCGTGGTCTCCAAACTGCCGTTTTTCATTCCCCTGTGTTTAAACCTGGAGAGGAATGAAGCAGTGCAGTGTTCAACAACGAGACAGGATCCCTCCCCCCATTACTGTATATGCCAACTGGAGTGATGGGATATTTCCTTAGAGTCTAGACTGGCGGTGAGACTGTCTGGGTGGCTGCCAGGCCTGGGCAGAAGGGAGAGAGGGGTAGTCCCAGGCTGAGGTTGCAGAGGAAGTAGTCATCTCTCCACCCCTCCACCCCCGCTTCACCCGTTTACCGGTGGAGATAGGGGTGCCTCCATGCCATTGCTGGGTTGGTGCAATCAGCACACGCTGCTTCACGTCCTCAAAACACGTTCCAAAAAAGGGAAGGGGCAGCATTGCATTAACAGGACCTTATCTTGTAACCCTCTTGGCCACGTGAGCTGTCAGCGTGGCAGCCGGTAACTTGGGCACGAGCCTGGCCTGCTCCTGCCACACCTTCTTGTCACATTTGATTAATACTGAGGGCCCAGAGCCAAGGATAAATAGTGGGCAGAAGGGTGGAGAGCTGGTGAGGACTTCTGTCTCTATGTGGGCTCTCAGGACCCCAACCTGAAAGTGTGGGATAGGAGAGGTTATCTGCACTGCTGGACTCTGGGCATCCTCTGTGGCCCAGACCTCAGCCCCACCCCATGGAGGTGGACATATGGGCAGCTGTGGCATCATGGGTTCTGTACCAGCCAGGGCCAGCTCTCAGCCCAGCTTAGAGGTGGGACTTGCAGAGGTGGGGGCTAGATTTGGCTTCCTGTTGACTTCCTCATGGCCTGGGTGCCAGGCCTATTCATTCCTGCCCCACAGGGGCTTGGTTGGCCACTTGTGGGCCTCATCTGCCTAGGGACGTTCACCTCTTACCTGGCGCTGTCTGGGTTCTTGCTTCTCTAGTCCTCGGGTGGGGATGGGTACAGAGTTGCTGCCTGTCTCGGGGCCTTAGCCAAGACCCATCTCTGCCCTACCCCAAGGAGTGGCTCTGAGTCAGATGGCCCCCAGACCCCTGTCCCAACCGGACTGGGTGGAGATAGTCCTTTTCTGTTGGGGCAGGGGGAGTGGTGGTCACGTCCTAAGCAGGCAGCTGCTGGGACTCTGCTGGAGGAGCCAGTTATCCTGCTTCCCATGCAGACCCAGACTTGACTGTCAACTTCGTCCCATGCCTGCCTGTCATCCTGCCACCCCAAACACTCATGCACCGGAAGTTCAGCTGCTGTGTCCAAGGTGTCTGGCTCCTCTGGGACGGCCAGACTGGTTCTTGCGCTCTGGCTTCAGTGGAGAGAACTGTTCTAAACACGCGCACGTAAGCATACATGTTCACCCTGTTTCAGGTTGATTCTTGAATTTGTGGTAGATGAAGAGAGAGAGGACTTTGGCAGATCTGGTTTACTAGCTGTGTAACTAGTGTGTAACTAGGATAACATTTCTGGGCTTCAGTTCCTCGTCTGTGAGGTGGGCCCTGGTTTTCCCTACAGTGTCCTGAGTGCAGAGGGCTCAGACCCTTCTTTGCCAGCCTAGCATCCACCTTCCCAGGAGCCATGGCCAGTGGACATTAGGCAGGAGGGGTCAGTGCTACCAGACCTTTTCCTCTAGCCCCTGAGCCCACAATTATCCCCCTGCCCTGTGCTTTATCCTGGAAGATGAAGTGTTTGTTTTTAATAATAGCTTTATTGAGGTATAATGACGTATGGTAAATGACACGTATTTAAAACATAATTTAATAAGTTTTAACATACGTGTATACCTGTGAAACCACCACCACAATCAAGATAATGAACATACCCGTTATTCCCAGACTCCCAAAAGTTTTTTGTGCCCCTTTGTAATCCCTCCATCCCACCCCTCCTTTGCCATCCCCCTTCCCCAGGTAACAATAGTCTGCTTTCTGTCACTATACATTAGTTCGCATTACCTAAAATTTATGTAAATAGAATCATACAGTATGTGCTCTTTTTTTTTTTGGCCTGGCTTTTTTCACTCAGCATAATTATTTTGAGATTCATCCATGTTTTTGTGGGTATCAATTGCTTATTCCTTTTTATTGCTGAGTAGTATACCACAGTCTGTTTATCCATTTATCTCCTGATGGGTTGTTTTCAGTTTTTGGCTATTACAAGTAAAACTGCTATGAACATATGTGTAAGTCTTTGTACGGACATATGCTTTTTTTTTTCTTGGGTAAATCCTTAGGACTGGAATAGTTGGATCATATGGTAGGTATACATTTAATTTTTAACAAACCGCCAGACTGTTCTCCAAAGTGGTTGTACCATTTTATGTACCCACCAGCTGTGTATGAAAGTTCTAGTTTGTTCACTACTTTGTCAGCACTTGGTATGATCAGTCTCTTTAAATTTAGACATACTAATAGGTCTGTAATGGTATCTCATTTTGGTTTTAATTTACATTTCTCTAATGACGAACGTTGAGCATCTTTTCATCTTATTTGCCATCTGTATATCTTTGGGGATGTGTCTGTTCAAATTGTTTACCCATTTATTGTGTGGGTTTTTTTTTTCATACTAAGTTTTGGGAGTTTCTTTTATATTTCTGGATTCAAGCCTTTTATGGGATATGTGATTTGCAAGTATTTTCTTCCAGGCTCTAGCTTGCACTTTAATTCTCCTGCGGTACGCGGGCCTCTCACTGCTGTGACCTCTCCCGTTGCCGGAGCACAGGCTCCGGACACGCAGGCTCAGCGGCCATGGCTCACGGGCCTAGCCGCTCCGCGGCATGTGGGATCTTCCCAGACCGGGGCCCGAACCCATGTCCCTTGTATCGGCAGGCGGACTCTCAACCACTGCGCCACCAGGGAAGCCCAGTTTTAACTTTTAATGAACTCCAGTTTACCAGCTTGTTCTTTTATGGATTGTGCTTTTGGTGTTTAAGAACTCTCTGCCTAACCCAAAACATGATGGCTTTCTCCTATAACTTTTATAGTTATGGGTTTTCCATTTAGGTCTACAATCTATTTGGGGTTAATTCTTAGGTTAGTATATGGTGCAAGGTATGAATGGAAGTTCAGTTTTTTGCATATGGGCATCCAATTGTTCAGCAAAATTTTTTTAATAGACTTGTTTCTCCATGGAGTTGCCTTTGCACCTTTATCAAAAATCAGTTGTTTGTATGTGTGTAGATCCAACTGTGGACTTTGTTTTGTTCCATTGATCTAACTTGTCTGTCTTTATCCCAGGACCACATTATCTTGATCACTGTAGATTTTATAGTAAGCCTTGAAACCAAGGAAAGATCTTAAACTTTGTTCTTCCTTTTCAAAATTGCTTTAGTTATTCTAGGTTTGTTGTACTTCCATACGCATTTTAGAACAATTTGTAAATTTCTACAAAATAGCCTGCTGGGATTGCATTGAATCTACAGATGAATTTGGGGAGAATTGCTGTCTTAGCAGTATTGAACCTGACTTATGAACAATGTGTATCTCTGTATTTATTTAGATTTTTAAGAATTTCACCAATGTTTTATAGTTTACAATGCACAGATCTTTTAAATCTTTTGTCAGATATATCCTTAAGTATTGCATATTTTTGATGCTATTGTAAATGGTATTTTTAATGGAATTCAGTTTTTTGTTAAAAAAATTTACCTACCTTAACTGTGGTAAAATATACACAACATAAAATTTACCATTTTAACCACTTTTAAGTGTATAGTTCAGTAGAG